TCCCCGCTCGCGGGAGCCCCCAGGGAGTCCCGGCCCCCCGGAGTTTGGGGGACTCGCGCCCCGTGTGCATTCTCCCTTTAGGGCGCCTCACTGCCGTGCAGTCTCGAGGGACTTGCGCCCTGCATGCCCCAGAGCGCCGCTGTCCCGGGAGTTTGGGGAACCCCTCTGGCACCCGCAGAGCCGTGCAGCCCCTAAGTTCCCTCCTGGACTTGGGGGACCTCCCGTCCTCGAGTCTCTCCAGGGAACCCTCCTTTGGAGTTCGTGGGGATCCCCAGGGACCTTGGCACTGAGCTGCTCCTGGAGCTGGGAGACTGGGGTCCCCCAGGGCAAGGAGTCCGCGGACATGTTCTGCCAGTGGGTCCCCAGATTAACTTGGGGAAGTTGGAACGTCCCTTCCTACTGACCCGAGGTCCACCTTCACTCCAGGGACCTCTAGTCCCCATTCCGAGGTACCAGGGGTGTTTGGGGTCAGTCCCTGGAGTCTTGACCAAGTGGGACCTCTCCCGGTTCCTCTAGTGCTGACGGGGAAACTGAGGCACAGAGGGGCTGAGCAGCTGGCTCAAGGTCACGGTGAGGGAGCAGAGCTGGGGCAGGAACCGGGTGGCCTTGCGCCCAGCCTGCCACGCCTGGCCAACACGCCTCGAGCCCCACCTGCCTGCACAACCTCCTCGGCACCGGGTGCTGAGTACAGTTTGGGGGACAGCAGAAGCCCCTGTTAGAGCGAGAAAAGTTTGCTGGTGACTGACCACGTCCTGGACACCAGCAGAAGCCGCTGGGCCGTCCCTGGGTCTCGAAGGCTGGAGCGGGCTGGGGGTCCCATGGGAGATGGGGCTCCCAGGTCCTGGAGCTCCGTCCTCAGCCCGAGCACTCTGGGTCACGCTGCATTCCCGTGTGGCCGGGCTGCATGTGGGGGACCGAGGGACTGGCCTCTCCACTCCCCACTCCCCTGCCACCGGTCACTTTCTCTGTTGCCATGCGCCGGCCCAGCTGCTCCCTGGAACCGCACGCCCTCCGGCCTCAGGCAGAGTTGCAGAAAGGGCAGCATCCGAGGCCGGCCCTGGGACGGGGGCACTGGTCCCCGTTCAGGGGACAGGGAGCGCGCCCAGCTCCCCCTCGGCGCCTCTGCTGCCGGCTCGGACCCCACACCAAGGAGGGCCGGCTGGGCCACCGCGGAGCCGTCCCCGGTCCCCTGCACAGCCGGCCCCACCGGTCACATGTGGCTTTGATTAAGGCTCTTCCCTGCAGCCGGCCGAGCAGGGAGCCCAGCGGGCAGCGCTTCCGCGGCCCAAGTTTTTGGTTTCAGCTCCGGAATCCCGTCCCCGGCGTGGCCTGTCCTTTGTTCTAGGAAACGCCAAACGCACAAGGAGCCTGCGAATGGGGACAGCCGGGGGTCGCTGGGGCCGCCCGCCGCCCCACCTGCCACAGGGCCAGGCCGCCCGCAGGGTCCCACCAGGGGAAGGAGGCACCGGTCCCGGCCCCACTGGCCGCTCGGCCACCTCCTGTTAATGCCCTGACAGCCCTGCTCTGACCAGCCAGCCACCCGAGGGGAGGCACCGCTGGCTGGGTGCACACCCCAGCCGGCAGGGCGTCTCACCTCCCTCTCCCCTCCCTCCTCCTGCCTGGGGCATCCTGGGTGGGAAGGCACCTCCCTGACATCTAGTGATGGGACTGGGGTCCGGCTGGGTCCAGACTGGGGCTCTGGTCATCGCGGAGGTCAGGGGCTCGGTCAAAGGGGCCACGGAGCCTGGGGACCTCTGGAGAGGTTTGGTGCCCTGGGCAGCCGGACCAGGACCGGCGCCCAGAGATGGGGTGTTCCGGGCACAGGAGGAGGAGGAGGCGTTGGGTCTCGGGGTCCAGGGCGCCGAGCTCGGGGACCGCGGCGCCAGGGAGAGGCGCAGGGTCGGGGAGCACGAGGCAGTCTCAGAGCCAGAGTCGAAAGACAGGCCTGGTCAGGGACATGCGAGGATGGAGTCGAGTCGGAGATGGGTGGGGGCATTCGGGAGACGGGGGCGCAGGGCCAGGGGCCATGCCCGAGAGGGGGTGCCCTGTGAGGGGGCGCTCGCAAAAGGCACCGTGAGGAAGGGACGGAGCCAGGCTGGGCAGCTCGCTCAGGCAGGGGACAGAGGGGCGGTACAGGAGCCAAGGGACGGACGGGCTCAGACAGGGACAGACAGGCACTGTAGTGAGGCCGGCCACCTCGCCAGCGGGCCTGGGACCTGCCCAGAGGCGGTGGGCGGCCGTTTCCCAAACGCACCCTCCTGCCCCGCAGACCATTTCCCGCACACAGGCGGCCGCAGACGTGGCAGAGTGAGCCCCACACCCGCCTCCACGCCATCACGGGGGGTCCCACTGCCTGTCCAGCACCCGGCATCCCCACCAGCCGCCGTCCATCGCCGGCCTGGCTGCTGGTCGTCTCTGGACCTGTCCCCAGCCAGGCCGGCCGCCCTCGCCTGGCCCGGCCACGGGCCGAGTGTAGGGCTGCGTGTGCGTGTGCATGGGGGTTTGTGCACATCTGAGCGTGTGGGGGGTGTGGGGGCTGCAGGGTGTGCCTGCGCATGTCACAGCGTGTTCTCCCCAACATGTGGGGGTCCTGGGGGGCGCCGGGAGGTGCGCATCTGTGTGTCATACACACCTGTTCACGTGGCAGGGTGACGCGTGTGCCGGCGTGTGCATGGCGTGTTTGCACAGATATCTGCGTGAGTGCCTGAGTGCAGGCGTGTGGAGGGTGCATGCGTGTTTGCAGGACCATGTCTGGTGTCTGGACTACACGTGCATGCGTGTGATGGGGGAACGCGTGTCCGTGTGTGGGCTGCGTATTTGTGGGTGTCGTTAGCGTGTCCGCATGTGCAGCCTGGCTCTGGCGGTCCTGGGCCTCACGGATGGCGGCACAGCCAACCCCCTGCCCACCCAGCCGGCTCCTCTCCCAGCTTCTCTGCTAGGGGACATGTCCAGGTCCCCTGGGCCCCATGCTGCCTGTGGTGCAGAGGGGCCATCGAGGTTGAGATCGGGCACCATGCAGGGCACCCACCACCCCCCAGCCCCCCACAGGCCATGTCACCAACGGGGAGGGCAGCTGCCACATCTCCCTGGAACGGCCCAGTGGGGAGCTGAGGGCTTGGGGAGGGTGCTCCCGTGTGGGGTGGGGCCTCCTGGGTCTCAGGGGCGGGGGGCGGGGGGTGCAGCTCTGACGGAGCAGTGCCGCATTTTCGCGTTTTGCCGCGTGAGGCTTTTTTGTTTTGTTTGAAAGAAGCTCGTCCAGCCCGCTTGGGGGGCTTGAAGAGCGAGGCCCAGAAGGTCCGGGGACTTGGGGACAGAAGGTGGGGTCCAGGGAGCGAGCCATGGGGGGACCAGACTCGGATTCGGGGGTCCCGGAACCCTGGGAGTGACCTCGGGTGGGCGGCTTGGATGTTTGGAGCCCCCGCGTCTCCTCTCGAGGCGGCGGCCGGCAGGCTGTGCCCCTCGTGTTGACGGCAGAGCCTGGTGTGGACAGGCCAGGCGCGGGCATGGCCTGCTCCGAGGGGCTCACGGGCCCCCCACAGAGGTGGGAAACCAAGGCAGTCCTGTGGCCGAGAGGAGGGACCTCCAGGCCCCCAAATCCACAGTGACAGCTCCCATCCGAGGTGGGGACAGCAGTGTGGGGACTGGCAGTCGGGAGGTGCCCCCACCTGCTAGGGGCCTGGGCCCCCTCCATCCGGGTCGGAGCTGGGGCATGCAGGCCTCCTGGGGTCTGCTGAGCCAGCAGGGCCCCCCCGGCCCGCGTCCTTCTGCACCATGGAATCCCCGGGCGGCCTCAGTGGAGGCAGAAACCGAGGCCAGGGGCAGAGGCCCAGGACCAGCCATGGGCTCAGCCGGGTTTGGCCGCCTCCTGCCCAGGATGGCCGGGCCAGTGACGGGTTGGCGTCTCCAGCTTTCGGGGCCCCCCGCAGAGGTCCCTGTGAGGTTCACAGGTCCCTCGGGTCACAGGTGGAGGCAGCGCTTGTCCTGGGGGCGGCAGGTGCATTAGCAAGGGGCTGGGAGGCAGGTATTTCCTTCCAGGGGCATCTGCAGGCCCCGGGGCTAGGCCGGATGGGGGTCCCAGCCCTCAGACAGGTTTCCCCCTTTCTGTCCGCCTTAGGCACGGGCGACGTGGCCAGCTGCGCCCCACGGCATCGCTGTGGGGGTTCCTCCCTCGGAAGGTGAATGTGGAAAAAGGCCTAGCTGTGTTCCCCACCTTGTCGGGCAAGCGCCCCACGGCGCCTCCATTTCATGGGTTCGAGAACACGAGTCATCCACGGCCACGGGGCAGCCGGCCCAGTCGGACGTCGTCCCCCTTCCAAGAGGCAGCTAGGTGGGGGGCTGGCTGAGGAGTGTGGGGGACCCTGCACTGCGCACATGCTGGGGGGGTGTGAGGGGTCACCAAGACAGGCGCCCCGGCAGAATGTGCACCCGGGCCAGGGGCCGGGGGCGGGGCCGACTCTGCTCCACCATTCACGGCCACTGTGCCCACCGTCCCCCCTCCTTCAGCTCTGGGGCCCCTACGTCCAGCGTAGCCCCTGTAGCCGCAGGGCCATAACTGCGCTTTCCGACCTGCCATCTTGGGGCTCTCATTGTCCCTGGGGTCCTCCCCCCACCCCCACTGGGCCTCCATAGGGAAACGTGTCCTCGGCACCTCCTTGGAACGCTGGCTTTGGGCGCTGGGGGCCTGCAGGGACCACTCGGGACAGGCGCGCGGGGCCCTGGCGAGCTGCCCGACCACCCCCGTGCCTCGGTTTCCAGTCCGGGAAGGCAGCACAGCCCCCACCCCCGTTTCGGGCGAGATCCCTAATTGGTTGCTTTGCTGGTAGCGTCTAATGACTTGACAGTTGCCCGACTGGAGCTAATTAGCTGCTTGCTGGGTGGCTGTGGGGAGGGGTGTCTGGCAAGGTTGGGGTTGCGGAGGGCGGGTTGTGGAGCCTTGGCAGGCGAGGAGCGGTCCGGGCTGGGAGGGCTGCCTGGAAGAGTAGGCACTGACAGGGTGAGCAGGTGGGGGTGACGGTGTGGCTGGCGGGCTGGGGGGAGCTAGGAGGTCTGAAAGCCTCCAGGAGCCCTCTGTCTGGGAAAGACCCAAGTCAGTCATTAACTTTCTAGTGAGAATTTCGGTTCGTCTCAGCCGCTCCCACGGAGTATTTGCAGATTGGGCTAAGGCAGGAGTGGAGGGACCCGAGGCTTCGTCTGACACGCCCGGCCACCTTGGGGCTCTCGTTGTCCCTGAGGTTTGGGTGTTGGGGCCCTCCCCTGCAGAGGCACCACCCT